CCCACCCATACACTTGATCCTCGTGTGACCTTGAGAAAAGCACTTAACCTTTAAGCTTTCACTCCTTCCTATGTAAAATGTGGATAAAAATACCCAACTCATAGGGGGCAATATCAAGTTCAAATGAAAGAACATGTACATTATTTCACTCAGTGCCTGGAACATGGTAAGAGAACAATTGATGGTGGTTCAGATCATCATTGTTACATTTGCAACTTTAATCCTTACTAGGCTTCCTCTGTGGGTCTCGGTTTACTCATATGAACACACTGTAAAATATGCCAGCCCCTCTCACCTCGCAGGGAGGGCAGCTGAGACAGAAAGATGGGGCCACGTGTTGGGAGTAACCAACCATCCAGAGAGATGTTCCTGAGATCTAAGGGATCTTGCTCAGGGCCATGCTTCCCAGAAAAAATGGCACTTGTGTCCCGAACCCAAAGGAACTTGCAAAGAAGTTGAGAAGATAAAAATCTACTTTATAACTTTTGAGAAACAAAAAAGCACTGTGGAGTGACAGGACTTTGAGCTCTAATGGGAAAGGCGGAGCCATTTATTCTTTCAAAAGAATTTATGTTCATTATTGGACATACAAAACCAAACAGGTGTTACAGGAATTCTAAGCTCAACTAGTCTTGGAAGACATAGGAGCTTCATCCTCTTGTGCTATTGTCTTTCAGCATCCAAGCAAGAAATTGGCGTGAGTGACACAGCCCCAAGGGAGCCATCAGCAGTGATGCTGTTCTTCCTCACCTGCCTGCTGGCTGTCTTCCCAGGTGTGTCTGCCAGGTCCCTGTCTACTCCCTGCAGGATCCAATTTCCTGGGGACACTGAGATCAGGCCCATCTCCAAGAATACCCCTTTCAAAAAGTGCACTTCCTCAAGGTATCACACAGACTATGAGGAAAGGCCATGTCTGAAAATGGGTTGGAGATCTAGAACAAGAATGGCAATTCTTCATTTCAAGTCCAGGGGTCTGCTCTTCACTGGGAATTATAAAAAGAAAAAGACCTTGATCTTGAACCAAGCATCTCTATGAGTTGCTATGGGGTTTGGAGGGAAATGACTTATCCTTGCTGGCTCTCAATATTGTCATCTAGAAAAAAAGAAACTAATCTAAAACACATTTTTTGAAATATAAGGAAATAACAGACAGCAAATGCAAAAGTGTAGCACCCTACAAAAGGAATGTTTTTTAATAAACAAGGTATATCACTACATATGTTTGCATTCCATTGTCCTTAAAATGGTTGTCATTAAAGAACTACAATTAGAATATAATAATGTTTAATCAATACTTTTACCCAATAGTAGCAATTGTCTAGCCTTAGTACATGTAAATAATCCACAGAAGGCACATGTGTTAGGAAAATTTCATCTCTTGGGGTAAGCTGTCAGGATCTTTTCAGCAGGCTCTCCCTCCCATGGCTTTATTAAACCTCTGTCTTCTGTCCCCACAGTGGTCTCCATGAAGAGTCCTATCTTTGGCCCCCAGGAAGTGAACAGATTGGAAAGTGCCTCAGCATCCATCAAGTGCTATTACCCAGCCACCTCTGTTAACCGGCATTCCCGGAAGTACTGGTGCCAGCAGGGAGCCAGGGGCCGCTGTACAACCCTCATTTCCTCGGAAGGCTATGTCTCCAAGAATTATGAGGGCAAAGCCAACCTCACCAACTTCCCAGAGAGCAACATGTTTGTGGTGGACATTGGCCATCTCACCCAGAGTGACTCCGGGCGCTACAGGTGTGGTGTGGGCATGAATAACCAAGACCTGTTCTTTGATGTGAGACTGAAGGTCAGCCCAGGTGAGGATCCAGTCTCCTTGGGCATCTGTAGAAGAGTGAGAGAGAATCATTTCAGGTGCAATGGGAGGGCTTAGGGAAGAATTTCCTGAGAGGCATGAGTGTCCTGGCATGAGGTGAGAAAGGCTATGGGTTCTCCTCCCTACAGAGGCAAGGACTTTTCATAATAGAACATGGGAATGAGACAGAGGGCACCTACTTGTGGGTGGTGGGTGGACCTCTCTAGGTCTTCAGGGCCATAATATTCTAGGATTTTCCTGAGGCCCGGGCTTGGAAGAGCAGCAGGAAGACAACTTCTCCCCTGATTGTTACAGGCGGGACAGGAGGTCTACCAGCAGAGAGAGGCAGAAGAGGCAGGGAGAAACTTGGAGGGACCCTTAAATTGCTGCCACTAGGGCAACTTTTAGATCAAGACCTCAGGTCATCAGAAAGCTTCTTTTAAAATGCATTTTTTTTAAACCTGGGTTCTATTAATCTATCAACAGTCTCAGCATAAACTAAATGATCCGTTCTTGCCCGAAGACCAAGGCCCTGAAGGGACGGGCTATTGAGCAAGCTTGTTCTAAGTGAGAATAGAAAAAATAGGAAAGATTTTGTGACAAGGGTTCAACGACAAGGGCATTTTAGATTATCAAGGGAAATTAAAAGAGAAAATGGTCTTAAAGGAAGAAATTTGGAGAGACTCCCAAAGATATGTTTTGCTCCTTTGGGATATGCTTGGTATTATCTGTAGACAGAATAAAGAGTTCATGCAGGTGGCCATGGAGATTCATAAACTCTTAAAAGCCAAGGAGAGCTGAGAGTTGACTTTATATAGGGTGTCCAGAGGAACAGTGGAGACAATGCAGCCTCTGATCAAACACTTTAAATGGCAGAAATCAATTACTTCACGAAGAAGCACATTCCATGTTTAGACTACTGTAAGTTTTAGAAACTCTCCCACAATACACTGAAATCTGCCACCCTATATTTACATTCATTCTGTTCATATCAGCATGAATTAATTTGGGCACCTACTGTGCATAGGCACCATGCTAGGCATGGCAGGGGAGTCACACATGAGTAAAGCATGTCTTTGCCCTGGAGAGACTTCCAGTCCATGGAAGACATAATTAAACTATACACAAGACTGGATGTATAAGTGATACAGATGTAAGTATCAAGAGAGCACAGAGGAGGGAGAGATTAGTGCCAGCTTGGGGAGGGCTTCAAGGAGGAAAGAGCAATAAAGCCAGGAATTGGAAGATATATTCCGATAGTGTCCCTCTGGGGAAGAGGACATCCCAGGTGCAGGCACACCCAGACTCTCACTAGGAACACCGAGCTCTCCTATGTGGCAGGAGAGTGACATGACAACTTGTTCCCCACCCCTCACCCTGCAGCTCTTGGGCTCCTAAATGGCACTAAAGTCTACACAGCAGAACTGGGAAGAACAGTGACCATTAGCTGCCCTTTCAACTCTGAGAATTCTCAGGAGAAGAAGTCTGTGTGCAGGAAGACAGACGAGACCTGTATCCTAGTCATTGACTCCAGCGGGTATGTAAGCCCCAGCTACTGCGACAGGGTCCGCCTCACTATTCAGGGTACCAGCCAGCTAGTGTTCAACTTTGTCATCGACCAACTGCAGCTCAGTGATGCTGGGATGTATGTCTGCCAGGCTGGGGACAATTCCAGAGCTGATAAAAGCAATGTTGACCTTCAAGTGCTGAAGCCTGAGCCCAAGCTGGTTTATGGAGACCTGAGGGGCTCGGTGACCTTTGACTGTGCCCTGAGCCCCAAGGTGGCAAATCTGACCAAATTTGTATGCCGGGTGAATAATGGCAAAGGCTGCGAAGTGGTCATCAACACCTTGGGAAAGAGGGCTCAGGCCTTCGAGGGAAGAATCCTGCTCACTCTCAAGGACAAAAGCTCCTTCAGGGTGCATATCACTGGCCTAAAGAGAGAAGACGCAGGGCACTACCTGTGTGGAGCCCACTCTGATGGCGAACCTCAGGAAGGCTTGCCCACCCAGGCTTGGCAACTCTTCGTCAATGAAGGTGAGACTTGAGAGGGAAAGAAGAGGTAGGGCAGTCTGGCAGATGAGAGCCTAGCTCCCTGCTTGTGAGTCTATTCAATATTCTCCAGTCAGTTAACAATATCTGCTCACAGACAAGCCCTGAACTGGATGCTCTGTGGGCATCTGTACAGGACAGCTAGAAAACACAGGCTCTTCCTCATGTTACCTCCTAATTTTTCTTCTCTGTCAACAAAGGCCTCTTGATGGCTATCCCTGGTTAATAGAAATGAAGGGAGTGATGCTCCTGATTGAGGCAAGACTTGTAGACTGTCTGGGTTTCAGAGAACCACAGTGAGAACCTAACATGAAATCCCAGTGCCATGGCAGGGGCCATCTGTCCCTTCTCCCTGACCCTTAAGCACAATGGCATCTCATGCCTCACATTCAGTGGGAGGAGTGGCTTATCTTGGTCTCCAAGTTTTCCCAGGAAGGCAATGCCTCCACTTCTAAATTTTTCTCTCCAACACCTCTTAGGATTATTTGTTATTCGGCACGCTCTGGCTTACTTAGTTCAACATTGGTGAGCCATCAATGTGGTGAAAAACTTAAATCTCTGCTGCTTCTCACCCTGGAGCACTCTGCATAGAGTTACCCTTATAAGGAACAAACCAATATTTACAGTTCAATGTCACTGCCCTTGTGACTTTTCAGGGGCTCACATTCCCTGAGCGCCATTTCTCTGTCCAGCTTGGGGTCCCTACCACATTCCTCAGCACCCTCAGTCACCCAGGGTTACCACTGGACCTCAGCATGAGCTTCTTGGAGGACTGTCCTCTTTGAGAGAGCCCTCAAGGTCCTCAATAATTAAACTTATCCGTGCTACATAGTTTATATTTTAAATCATACTGTTCTAAATATATTTTCTTAATTTGAAGGAGATGTATCTGGCTGTTTTTGTGGGACAAGCTAATAAACAGACAAAAATTTATTTAGAGGGAGATTTTGTAAGAAGCCCACAGAGAAGGGCTGATAGTGTCTCCTTAAACTCCTTCCAGTCTCTACTCAGAAGAAGATGGAGGAAAGAAATGAGACATCCTGACTAGTGGTGAAGGTCACCGGGGTCTGGTCGGGTGGTTCCAGCTACAGGCTCTGTGACATTAGGAACATGTTTTTTTAATTTTCTGAGGAGGGTGATGTGATTAGTCTAAACCTCAATCTTCCCCTGGCTAAGATCATGGGGAAGAGCCTGCTCAGACCATGTTGCTGTCTTTCCATCCCATTTCTGTCTGTGCTTCTAGAGACAACGATTCCCCGTAGTCCCTCTGTGGTGAAGAGTGTGGTAGGAGGCTCTGTAGCCTTACTCTGCCCCTACAACCCTAAAGATAGAAACGGACTGAAGTACTGGTGTCGCTGGAATGGGGCTCAAAATGGTGGCTGCCCGCAGCTGGTGAGCAGCCAGGGGCTGGTGAAGGAACATTACGAAGACTACGAGGGCCGGCTCGCCCTGTACGAAGAGCCAGGCAATGGCACCTACACTGTCATACTCAACCAGCTCACCACCCAGGATGCTGGCTTCTACTGGTGTCTGACCGACGGCGATACGCACTGGTGGTCCACAGTGGAGCTCAAGGTTGTCGAAGGTAAGAGCTGAACTGAGGCGCGAGGGAAGGGAGGCAGCCCCAGCACTCCTCCAGTCGGCAGCGGCCTCACCCCCCAATCACTCCTCCTACTTTACGTACCTCCATATTGACCGGACAGAATTCAGGAGAGAGCCCACCTGTGGAGAGGCCATTTTTTCATACCTGTAACAAGCACCCTTCCCTGCACACACTCCATACTCTTCAGACCACCACACGTAGCACCTCTCATCATCAAGAATGCCGGCTTCTTTTAACGTCTGTAAGGTGTTAGCTGAAGGAGAACACAGCTCTTTGTATTGAGTCTAGAAAGAAAGAGCAAGGAAAGCAAACTAAAGCGAGTGTGCAAGGGTCTCTGTTCTACGATAGACTGATTGATCCATGGTGGTCATCCATAGTTATTACATGGCGCATAATTACCTTTCTTATGTATTCAGTGTAATGTCATTATTTACAATGCTGTCCAAAGAGGAAATGGGCTGTGGACAAAGGTCCCCACCACAGTCACTTCCCTGTAGCATCATCACCAATGCCAACTTCTGTGCCTATTCACTCCCTACTCCAGGAGAACCAAACCTCGAGGTATCCACGAATGTCACTGTTGGGGTGGGAGAGACTCTCAAGCTCCCCTGCCACCTACCATGCAAATTCGCCTCCTATGAGAAATTCTGGTGCAAGTGGAGCAGCAAAGGTTGCAAGGCCCTGCCCAGCCACAACGAGGGCTCAGGCCAGGCCTCCGTGAACTGCAGCCAGGGGAACCAGCTCATCTCCCTGATCCTGAACTCCGTCACCCAAGAGGACGAAGGCTGGTACTGGTGCGGGGTGAAGGAGAACCTCCGAATCAGAGAGACTGTGGCTGTCTATGTGGAGGTCAAGGAAAAGGTGAAGGGTGAGTCTCTGAGGGCCAGGTCTGCATCCCTGCAGACCCCAGAGAAAGGCTCCTGCCTAACAGCTCTCCATCGGGGTAGGGTAGGGGGCCAGGTTTGGTTCTAAGAGGCTGGGCGCAGGGGAGATTTAGCCCCACATGGCCTTACTTAGCCCTCTAAAAAGGGCAACCCAAGTAAACACACGAACTAAGAAAAAACAGTAGGTTTGATGTTCAGCCTCAGCTTCAGGACAAGCCCCATAGTTGCCCTTTCAGGACATTTTAAGCCCTTTCTGTATATAGAGATTTTCCTCTTTCTACAGAAATTTCAAATCACTGTCATACACAGTATACTCCCCCAAAGCCTGCTCTCAAAAGAGGGCCAAATACCTTTTCATACAAGGTCTGATAAAGAATTAAGGCAACCTCTTCTAGTAAGTTTGCATTTTAAGCGTCTTTTTTAAATGTTACGTGAAATGTTTTATCCTTAATGAGGAGGGTGTTTTGTCTGGGTCAGGCTGGTCTGGTTCACTGAGGGACCCAGAGCCAAGCTACCGCCAGGGGGCAGCACTACCACACCCAGCCCTACAGTCAGGAGGCCCTGAGCAGAGTTTCAAAGCTATGAAAAATCTGTCTCCAAATGGTACGTCAGCCCTTAAGCACAGCTGGATCTGTGATATGGATCCTTGTAGATGGAAATGACTGTGGTATTAATGGGACAGAGATCAGCTGGGACAAACTAGAGGAGACTATCACTCTATTTCTAATGTCATCTTGGACCCTACCCTAAGATCTCCTTCTGACCCTATGAGTCATAATGAAGTCCCACTCCTCAGGCTCCCTAACCTCAAGGAGTGAAAACATAAAGAGCCATAATTCAGCCCCACTCTGCTCTCTCCACGGTCCAAAGATGTCAGCCAAGTGAATGCCGCTCCTGGCGAGGAGGTGATAGAGCCAAGATCTCAAGATGTCAGCCAAGTGGATGTTGCTCCTGGCGAGGAGGTGATAGAGCCAAGGTCTCAAGATGTCAGCCAAGTGGATGCTGCTCCTGGTGGGAAGGTAATAGAGCCACGTGTCAGGAAGATTGAAAACCAAGTCGTTCAGGATCCCAAGCTTTTTGTGGAGGACAGTGAAATAGATACTGGAGACTCAGCTCACGGAAGAAAAGCACCTGCAGACCCTGGCAGGTAAGGAAGGATTCAAGGCTCCCCACTTGGAGAACATCCTGGAGGCTAACTACCTGAGGCTGTTTGCCTCCTGATAGTGGGGGCAGCTCTTGCCACTGCTTGTCTCAGGAGGGACCAGTGGTGCTCTCTGCAGCTGGGGCCATGTTTACCACCCAGTTCAACTTCCCGGGCCTGGGATGCAGAGAAAGCCCAGTCCTTGCCTTTGCCATGTCTGGAAGGGCTTCTTAGGAGAATGGAGCTAGAAGGCTGTATCGAGAGAAGAAAGTAGATACACCTGGGAGGAAGAACTAGCCAGAGTTACCTGCCAGCACACTGTGGGGTCCTCAGGTTTCCCTTTCAGTGACTAACTGACTCAATCTTTCTTCCAGCTCTGCGGGACAAGGTGGGAGCTCCACGGTGCTGGTCTCCACCCTGGTGCCCCTGGCCCTGGTGCTGGCACTGGGGGCCTTGGCGGTGGGAGTGGTTAGAGCCCGGCACAGGAGGAACGTTGGTGAGCCCCCGGGCTGCTCCCTGCCCCCCACCTCCAAACCCTCGGGTGGGGGCTGCCATACTTTCTGCTCTTTCATTGGCTCGAGTAAGGGTTCTAGGAAAGCGGGGTGGGGAAAGTTAAACCCACAGGTACCCCAAACTTACATTGAGTCCTGCCATCCAAATGCTTTCTCTGGAAGGCCATCCATGATTGCTCAGGGTCTAAGTCCAGAGGCAGGGCTGCCAGGAAGAGGAGAGCAGGATGCTGAGGGACCTGCACTTCCAGCCTAGTTTGAGAACTAATTAGCTGTGTGACTTTGCATATCCCCATTTCATGCCTCAGCTTCCTCATGGCTCAAGGCAAGAATCATAATAACTACCTCAAGGGGCTGATGCGAGAACAAAACGAGATGCTGTGCATTGAAAGCTCACAGAGTAACAAACAGGTCAGAGATTAGTGAGTCTTGATTTCCTGTGGAAAGGGACTAGGGAGCAGAGGCAGAACATTTCCAATCTGCTTTGAGTCAGTCAGAGGTGAGCAGCCGGAGATCCTGACCCTACTTCAGCCACCCTTTGGGGCTCCCTCTGTTGTTCTTATATGTCCCCAGCCCCATCCCTACACCAACTCCTCTTTCTCTGGGACAGACCGGGTTTCAATTAGAAGCTACAGGACAGACATTAGCATGTCGGACTTTGAGAATTCCCGGGACTTTGGAGCCAATGACAACATGGGAGCCTCTTCGATCACTCAAGAGACAGCTCTTGGAGGAAAAGATGGTACGTCCCTCACTGAAGGGGATTCCTGACCCTGGGAGAGCAGGAATTAGAGCTGACTCTGCATCTGGGGTGGGAATATGAGGCTGGTGAAGGCTAATCCACTCTGCTCTCTTCACACAGAGTTCATGGACACCTCCGAGAATACTGTGGAAACCGAACAACCCAAGAAGGCGAAGAGGGTAAGGGTGAGGAGGGAGAAGGTCTCATCCGTATTACAAGGAAACACAGCATAAGGGACTGTGGTTAGAGACCAGGAAAAACTACCTCAAAGTGGGGGCCGACGTCAGAACAGGGAAGGTAGTGTAAACAGTGTCTGGGCGAAATGTTTGAGGGCGAGACGTATCTTACTGGTGTGGTATTAACACACCAGTAAGGAAGGAGATGGGCTGCGTGTATAGGCTATAAACATGCAGAAGGGAGGAGGAAGGCAAGTACATGATAGATTTGACCACAGGGCGGGAAGGTCAAAATATCAAACACTGGTGATTAAGTGGGTGTTCCTCCTGGGCCATGGAGCCCATGGACTTTAGGTCACCCATCTTTCCTTGAGAATTTGCTTGGGACTAGCCTTCTGCCTGGGCCTGGGTGACATTTTCTGGTGTTGGGCAATTCGATAGCCACTAGAAGGCTCTCCTTACCCCAACCAAGTGCTACGTTTCTTGAAATCCTACCAGAAGTGACTCCTGACATCGGATCACATATTATCCTCCCCTTATGTCTCCCCGATCCCAAAGTAATAACTTTTGTGATAATATAGTAAATGATATATCTACTCTTCCTCAAAGAAGCAGAGACCCCAGCTTTTGGAACAATTAGGGGAACAAGGTAGTTCTGGAGACAGTCTTCCCCTCTAGGCTTGTGTTGTGTCTCTGGGCTGGTAGAGAAAGAAAAACATAAACCACTGTGGCTGATGCCAACCTAGACCCCCTTGCCCTTGTGAACTGTGTGGGCAGAGCTTCCGGGGGCAGGCCCAGGCAACAGAGGAGGTTCCACTCCATGTGTCAGAAGGAGGTAGTGAAACAGAGGAAGATATTTTTAGAAGCTGCAACTTTCCATTTATCAAAATTAGTACCTCTTGGTGAGTAGTGAGCACAGGGCTGGAATAAGAACAGGGGGTTAACATGGGCCCAGATTGCTTGGGCCAAGATTATGAATTAGGAGCCATAATGTATCTTCTTCCTCCGACTCCCACCCACTGAGCCAACGCTCCAAACTCTGACCCCTCTCCTGTCCTCCCTCAGTCCTCCAAGGAGGAAGCTGACATGGCCTACACCGCCTTCCTGCTCCAGGCCAACGACATGACGGCCAACGTCCAGGATGGCCCCAGCGAAGCCTAGGCTGAGAGCCAGCTGTCTGTCTCCTTCTACCACCCTTGACAATCACCTTTAGAATCATGTTGATCTTCAGTGTCCTCACCTTCAGGGGCTCCACTACCTGCACACACACCCCACCTAGGCTTTTCCTGGAGAGCATTCTGGTCCCTCCTCAGTGGCATCCAAGCCTGGCCTCATTGCTGCTGTTTGGGGTGAAGTGATGTAAGTTCCCACCTGCAGCTTATTTCTAATGAGAAAGCCTAAGGTGCGAAAGGAGAATTGAGATTTTAGAGGGGCCTTGCCAAAAGAAGAGAGACCAGGGTGAGTGAGGAGATAATTTTAGAAAGGAAGCCCATTCAAGGCTTCTCTACACCCTTATTATGGGATGCTGAGGAGGGACTGGTCTCCAAAGAGCTAAGGTTTAAGGTCTTTTTCCCTCTGAGCTCTGTACCTCAACCAGCATCTGCAAGCTGGCACTTGCTAACAAATCAAAACTGTGACTTCATTAATAATTAAAGACTGTAATTGCAACCAAAGAGGCTGACTACATTTGTCCCTCATACTGCTGTTCCCCGGGCAACCCTTTCAGAGCAGTTTGCTCTGGTCCCACTTTCGGGCACCCAGGACATGTGTCTAAACCAAAGTTTCCTCCATCTCCAACACTGGGCTGAGGGGGAGCTAGGAGACTGCCTCTAAGTGGGATCAAGATTATCTTCAATAAAGGAATAGTTTGGGGTCTACGCCAATGATCAAGACCCTAAAGCTCTGTATAAATAAAAGACTATAATGAAATAAACCGAAAGCAGGTGTAACCACTGCTCCTCTTAGGCATTTTTTAAAAAATCTTGATAAAGCACTCATGGAATACTTGACCTTGAATCTCACACCTTCCTGGGGTATCCTCCAAGATCAAGAGGCTGTTAAGCAAAACTCCAGTAACCAAATGAGTAAACTCTCTCCATAGGAATATCACATAGAAGCTAGTTAAAGGATAACAGGTTTTGGATAACTTAGTGTCCAGTCCTGAGTTGATCCAAAGTCTCTTGGGGGACAGTGCTTAGATAAAGGACTCCCTAGTCTGCTAAGGCCATTCCTCGGTTCTGGCACTAAACTAAGCCCCTAGCCTACCCCAGATTCCTCCTTAGGGCCTCTGTGTGGAGAGTTCTCTCTGAGAGAAAGTTCTTCCCAGCCTTCCATCCAGCCTTAGGTGGGGCAGAACCCTTACTTCTCCCTGGGCCTTGAATGTAATGCTTCTGGTATCACGTGCTTCCCAAGCCTGCCCTTGACAGAACTCAGACTTCAGTCCTCCTTGGTCTCCCCTCCAGCCCCAGTGCCCGTGTCCAGTCCTGAACCTTGGGCTCCTCCCCAGCCAGGAGAGGTGGTCATCAGGAACATTTCCCTGTTCTCTATGATTAGGATGCATATCTAGTTTCTTCTGGAATAATGGCAAATTATTCTGAGAGAAGCAAAATCACTAGGTCTGTCAGAACCTATTACTATCTCACCCCCAAGAAGCTGTTCCTTGGCCTACCGAAGGGTCATGCCTGGGGCAGAAGAATTAAGGTGTGGCTTTTGTGTTAACACCGGTGACCTGGAGCCCATCTTGAGCTCGTACCACCTACCCCAGTCCCTAGAACCAAAAGCCAAGAAATGTCACAAAGCTGCTGACAATCGTATACTATTCTTGGCTGATATTGTCAGTAGGTGATAGTAATTATGGTAATGTACCTGCACAAAGTCCGCCTGCTGTTTATGCAGTACATTGGACAGAGAAACCCTTCTATGAGGAGCTGGTCTATAGCCAACATGGGACATCTTATAAGTTGAAAAGTCACCATTTTGGGAGAATATATTAATTTCCTAGGCTGCTGTGACAAAGTACCACAAACTGGGTGGCTTAAAACAGCAGTAGTGTATTCTCTCACCATTCTGGAAACTAGATGTCTGAAATCAAGGTGTCAGCAGAGCTGGTTCCTCCTGAATGCTCTGAGCATATGTTCATGTTTCTCTCCTAGTTTTGGGTGGTTGCCAGCAATCCTTGGCAATCCTTAGCTTGTAGATGCATCATTCCAAGCTCTGTCTCCATCATTACATGGCATTCTCCCTGTGTGTCTCTCTGTGTCTTCACATGACCTTCTTATAAGGACCCCAGTCATTGGATCTAAGGCCCATCTAGTTTGACCAGAAGGGTTTGACCTCATCTGCAAAATTTCTTTTCTAAATAAGGTGATGTTCTGAGGTTCCAGGTAAACATGGATTTTGGAGGGACACTATTCAGTTCAGTACAAGGGAGTAACAAATCAACTGTGGAGTTGATGATTATACACCAATTAGCAATAATCAGTGTCCAGCAACCATTCGGAGAACTACTTAAATATTTCCGATGACAAGAAAATCTTCCTCAAGTTCTTCAATTATTTTGATTTTTGCATTAAAAAAAAAACCATTATGTATAATACATTACTAAGTTTCAATAGTGGCTGAGAATCTGTTTTTAGTGGTAGTTGATTGGGTTTGTAAAGCTAAAACATATATCATTTGTCCAAGATGTTCCCAAGACCCAGGACAGAACAGGGGACAGCAGAGAGGAACTGATTGTGATATGGTCTGTGAAGCGGGTCCCCAAGGCAGAGAAACAAGTAGACCTCTCCTACCTGCTAAGCTTCTCTGAAATATGAGCTCTTCTAGGGAGTCTGTACAATAAAAATAGTAGGAGATCATCTCAGAAAGACTACACATCTAAGTAGACAGGACACACTGAAAGAGAAGAAGGAGATCAATGGTCCCTGGCTGGCCAGGGAGATGAAGCAGGATGGGAAGGAAGATGGCCAAGCTATAAGATTCTAGAACTAGAGGCTTGGTAAGCCTACCCTAAGGCTGATGAAGTAGGGTTGGCCAATCCACCCTCACTAGAGCCAAAAGTCTTTATTTAAATGTGTGAAAGTGAATATTTTAAAACCCAGGTTTTTGTCGATAAATCACATTAAAATTCATCCAAAATTCCCACATTTGTGGTTCTAACTTTAGAACAACAACAAGAATATGAACATATTCAGGAAATAAATCTTACCAAAATTCTACCATTTCTTATAGCAGAAAGTCATGAATAAGCTTGCTATGAAGGTTAACCTTCCCAAAGCCCCCTTCCTGTGGAGTGGCTCACTCTGGAACAGGAAAGCCTATGATCCAAGTTCTTGGAAAGAAGGGACTGTAGGATGCCTGATCCAGGTGCTTCTACCTAGGTGGGCTACCTGGTGAGTCTAGCAGGCAGGGGGATTTTCATGGACCGTCTTCAGCGAGAGCAGTGTTGAGTTATGAAGAAGGTCACTTGAGAATCTTGGCCCACAGTCTGGAAAGGCCCAGGGGATGGCCCTTGGGAGAATGGCCACATGAGAGGTCAAAGTAGGGTGATGCAGTAACCAAGCAATGATGACAACCTCCACCTTAATGACCATGGCTAATCTCTACTGCTCTCTTACTGCATTCTAGGCACTGTGCTAAGCCCTTTACAACACTGACCTCATGCAATCGTCACAACAACCTCATGAGGAATATTCCTATCCCACCTGTAACACAAGGAGGATAATAAACCTAAGTTATTATGGAGATTAAATGAATTTGCCTAAAGAATATAGAACAATTCCCAGTGTAGCTGGTGTTATTTATTGCCTCCACCTGCCTATCATCAGGGTCTGAATTTTTTCCACTAGATTCATACCTTCTAATCAAACATTGTTCTTAGAGGTTGTCTGCCATTGGGCCCCCTGTCATCAGTGAGCTTCAGCTTCTCAGACCTTCTCCTGAGGTAGGAGCACAGGGCAATCCAACAGCCCTTGAGTCAGAAAAGAGGAATGAAATTTATAGGGGTGGGGGTGGTTAGAGAGAGAGAGAAGAAAACAAAAATGGTAAACTTTCCCTATTGCAGTTTGGCCAGGGGTCAGCCTTCCCATGGGGCCCCAACCATGAGACCCTGGGTTGGGGAAGTAGAGACTGGACAGGCCAAGGGCTGGGAGTTTCGATCCCTCAGACTCCAAACATTAACTTCCTGCCTGGCAATTCTCAGACCCTTAATTCTTACTCTTAACAACCCAATGTAATGTTTCACACATCATGTGAAAATCTCTCCTACCCATTCATCCTACACATCTCTAGCACTGCCTGGCAGGCCCCAGCCACAACACAGCCAGCCCCTCATCTTCCCACAACAAATGTTCACGCATCACACAACACACGTCACATTCTTAGCCGCACATCACATATTCGCATGTCACACACCATACATACATCATTATGCCTCACATCATGCAGTCACACACTAACATATCACACATAACGCACTCCCACATCACTCCTGACACTGTCACACACAACGCATACTTCACGCTCCACAGCACGGTCATACACCACTCATCTCTTGCACATCACATACCATACACTCATGCATTTACACTTGCACACTCTCATGCACATAGTCACACCCACAACTCATTCATTCATCTATTCTCTTTCTCCAAGGCAACCCAGGCCTGGAAATCCACAAAAGCCAGAGCCCAGCTGTGTGACAGCTGTTAGGCACTGTGAAAGCCCACCAAGTTGGGAAGGATGGAGGCTGATGGGAGCTGAGAACTCTGTCAGTCACTCACTCTAACCAGAGGCCTGAGGCTGCCCACTGACACCTTGCCCAGCATAGTTGGAGAAAATCACAAGTACAGGTGCACTGGGCTAGTGGAGACCCAGATAGGGGTGGGCAGAGCAGGCTGCCTACTCCCACACATGCTTCCTCTGCACCTGCTCTGAGCCTCACATTTGACTTCCAATGCGGATGTCATTGTTTTATGTAGAGCATGTGACAAATCTGACATGTGGGGGCCGGTGGGGAGTGGTGTGCACGGAACCACTGAGGAGCCCGAAGGCTCTGTCAGCCACATCCTCCCAGGAGGGTATGGGAATAGCCCAAGTCCTCTGTTGGGCACAAGAGGCAACAGAGCCTGTATGTGGGGCCCTGGGAACCAACCTAGGACGTAATATCCAGGAATGAAACCCTGAGACTCCTCCAATAAATGAAACGATAGACCACACATCTCCACATTAGAGGGCTCTTAAAGCACTTCCATGAGCATGGTTTCTGCTAGGCCTCATGAAAGCCATGTGAAGTAGGCAGGGCAGGGACCATGCCTATTTTATCAGTGAGAAAACTGAGGCCCAAAGCTAGAAAGTGACAAGGCAGGGCCAGAACCCAGATCTTCTGACTAGAACTCCAAGCTCTTTCCATGATACCGAGCAGCTGATTGGCTCAGCATCTCTCTCTTCATAAATCGCTGGGCCATACCCTTGGACCCTCAGGGTCCTGAAGAGATAGCTTGGCCAGGTTGTTATGACTTTAGGCGGAGTTGTTGTGTGACCTACCATACCCTCTCCTGGCATCGCTCCTGTGGTCACTGGAGAGTGGCCTCTGTGAGAGGGAAATAGCTGGGAGAGAGGAGAGGTGGCTAATCTGAGGAGCTGGGTGAGCTGTGGTTAAGACCTCAGAAATAATGTCCTGTAGAAGGAAATGCCAGCAATCATCTAGTTGACCTCCATTTTCTAAGATAAAGAAATCGAGGCTCAAAACCCATTGTTAGTATTCCCACATAGCGAGTGCTCAAAAATATTAGTCAAATGAGTTCCAGGGCCACAACCGGCAGCTCTGACTCAGGCCCGCACTCTGTCCACACAGCCTTCTTCAGATGGAGAAAAGTGGTGACAGGCAATTTTATCCTGGAAAAGGACTCTGGTGCTGACATCAATGAATACACACGAAGCCTAGAAGGCGCCTCCAAGAAAAAGTGCCCAAGGTGAAGAAATATCACGCTCGATAATTTTTAATAGCCTTTAGGATCTGCCTAGAGGCCCCTTGAACCCTGGTGACCCGTGACCCATTTTCAATCAACACAACATGTTTTCTCAACTCCTGATTTCCGCTGTGGTTTGTCGACTTTTTTTTTTTTTTCGTTTTTTTTTTTTTTTTTTTTTTATTCTAAGATTAGTAAGCAAACAAGACAGGTTGTCATTTCCTCATTTTCAAGGCTTGCTCCTCACATGGGCCAAAAATCTCTTTCAAGCTCCAGATTGTCACAAGTTCCTGGGTGAGCAGTGGGTCTCTGTCCCCATCTCCAGGGCCTCTTGGATGGGACCTTGCTCTAAAAGGAGCCATGAACCTCTGGCTTTGGTCACTTTACTTCCTGCCAGGTAAGTGCTATGGGAAAACACCTCACATGTCTTATGAGATTTGAATTGGTCACAAGTAGGGGAGTGGCTGGGTGTCTCCAGCTTGTATGTTTCTGGACAGATTTAACTGCAAACCAGTACCTAGGACATGACATGGATGGAGGCCACCTGAGGTCCTCTCACTCCTTGCTAGTACCCCTCTCTCTACTCCGGATACATCTCCTATTTGGCACAGGCATTGATTCATAAAAGCTGAAGGTATCACCTCTCCCAGACATATTAGCTTGTTAATATGGGATCTTAAAGCAAGTGTCCCAAAGTTCTTTCTTTTTTTTGTTTGTTTGTTTTTTTAGGCGAGGCAACTCTTGGTTGACCTAACAGATTGCAAGGATCTTGTCAGCTTACAATTCCTTATTTTTATTTTTTACATCTACAGCACCTGGTCTTCCTAGGTGGTCTCCCGTCCAAATACTAACCAGGTCCGCCCCTGCTTAGCTTCCGAGATCAGACAGGATCGAGCTTGTTCAGGGTGACATGGCCGTAGACCCAAGGTTCTTTCTGCTTACCTCTACATTCTCTTTCTTTGGATCTCTTTCACTCATGATTTCCAGCTTTCAACTCTAAATGAAGACTTTCTTCTCCATTTTGTAGTCCTAATCCATTTTCCAATTCCATATCTCAGTTTACAACTGTTTCCTGGGCATCCCCACTTCAATATCCCACCTGGATCTGAAATGCAACATGCCTAACACCTTACTTCAAATTTTTCATTGGTCACCATCCAAACCAGCTACTCTATATGTCTTAACTGTCACTGATATTAGATGCAGAATGTTAGAATGGCTTTATACACCTCTTTCCATTTATCCTCAACCATCTTATGACCTGGTCAAAAGCTAATTCATGTAGTTTCTAGATTTCCATTTACCAGGATGAGAAACAAGGGCAGCTTCTTCTTCAGAGGCAACAGAGGGAATGGAAAGGAGAAGAACACATGGTCATCTCTTAACTGTCTTTTCCACTTTCTCCAACTTGACCTGCCTATAGTTCCAGATTAATTTTCCTAAAGCTTGACTCTAATCATAGATCGCCCTTCCCACTGCCTACTGAATTAAATACAGACTTCTCTCTTATGCTCCCTTTTACCCTCTGGGCTTATCACATTCCCCTGATCTTTCCTAACCTCCAGCTAAACAGGACTTCTCCGTGAGCATGTGCTGGATCTCCTGCCGCCAGTCCTTGCTCATGCCATTCTTTCTGCCAGGACCATCCTTCTGCTCACCTCCACCTTCCATGGGTCATTCAAAGCTCATCTCAACCTTCACCTCCTTCCTATATACTTTCCAGAATCCCCTCTTCTGAACCCCAGTAGCTGATCCCATTCTACCTTGTATTGTGGCTCAGAGTGTATCCACCTTATTTCGTTGATTAAATGGTAATCTCTTTGAGGGCCAAAACGAATTTTTATTCATACTTACTTTCTTTGTGACTGCTTGAGTATGGAAGGAAAGTTAAATATTTATTGAATCGAAGAGTGAAAAACCCCTAAAAGCCCAAGGGAATGGAGTTTCAATGAAACGTCAGACTTAGTCAGAGGTGGTAGGACGTATATGAGCTCGACGTGAGTACAACCAACCTTAGGCCTCAGAGGAAGGAGGGTTGTGTGGGGACAAGTCTGGGAAGAGAAATCAAGAGTACTTTTTAAATTTCCATTGTAAATTTTAAATATATATTGGATATTCAAATGGAGTCCAAGTGGAGAAATAGGGAAGGCAAGTCTGGAGCTCAGAGGTAAAGACAAGACTGAAGATACATGTTTTGGTAGAATCTCTATAGAACTGACATTAAAAGCCATGAGAATATATTAGCTACTGTGGAGAGAGAGTGAGGAGGACAGAGAAAGGAACAGGCCCAAGTACCAGGCCCTGGGGTGGCCTAACATTGGGAGGTGGCTAGAGAAGGAAAAGTAAGGAGATTGAAAAGAAATGGTCTTTGAGAGTGTGGTGTCAGAGAAGCCACGAGAAGAAAGTGTTTTAAGGTGGGAAGGCTCGATTTCGTCGAATGCTACCGAGAGTCAAGTAAAATGAAGACCAAGAAGTGACCATCAAACATAGCCACAAGGAAAATTTTGGTGACTTTGATTAGAGCCGTTTCAGTGGAATGTTGGAGGCAAAATTCTGACAGGTGTAGGTGGAAGTGGATTCAGTGATTTCGATGATTCGTTTGAGAAAGAGAACAGAGAGGGCGGTAGCTGAGGGATGCAAAAGTCAGCCGAAGGTTTTTCAACACGGGCACCACCGAGCATGTATGTAAGCTATGGCAACGCTGGAAGAGAAGAAAGCAGCAAGGCAGGCAGATAAAAGGTTAATTGCAGAAGAGAAGTTCTAATAAAGGTAAGCAGAATGGACTCAGGATACAGGTGAAGGCACTGGCTTTTAAGAGGAGAGGGAAGCTCCATTCAGCGCAACGGGACGAAGGGCAGACAGAAGGCCCTAACACACATAGGCTGGTGTATGCAGAAGCGAGAAGTTGAATAGAATGTTTCTCATCCTTTTTTAAAATCCATGCTCTGTCTGATAAACATAGAAGTTCCCTTCTTCCAGAGATCCTTCTGTGACCGGAGTTACAGGGTCCTCGTCACCGCTCTGGGAAGTCACCACTGCATGCAATACAGTCTGTCTCCAGGGCACCGCCGCCAGCCACAGCCACATGACCCTGCGCCTTATTTCGCATTATGAAAATTACACACTTGTTTCCACATTCCGGACATCTATTTATATCCAAGTATATATTAAGGGTCACTTTCTAAACCACATATATCCCTCTCCTCTACCTTCACCACTATAAATCAAGTCACCAAATTTGAGATTAATGTCACTTACTTAGTAGCTTCTTTAAAATACCAACATTAAACAGCTTGGTTCCTTTAGATAGCTTCTTCCACCCCTCCCTTTCTTCCCAGAATCATTTGGAAATGTAGTTCTAGCCCAGAATCACAAAACTTCAAGGGCATCTGAGATATTTATTTTAAAATGCAGATTATTAGGCCCCACCCTAGACAACCTAATCACCATGCCTAAGGGTAGGCCCAGGTCCTCTGCACCCTAAAGAACTCTCTCTACATGAATCTTACTCATACTGTGCATACCCTCTAGATATGATAGGAAGTCATATCTAGTCTTCTCCCTGTTTAGGAAATCTGCTTTTCTAAGCCTTTGGTGGAGGTTAGAAGCTACTACAAACTCTAAGGAGAGCTGGGATCTGGTCATTTTCACCTCACCAACTGGTGCTTCCTTGTGACCAGAGCTCAGTGTACCCAGCAGCGTTTTTTTGTTTTGTTTTGTTTTGTGCTCCATTCATCCAGCGTTTGCACAAAGTAAATGTCTTAATCAGCTCGGGCCACTGTATGCTATAGACTGCATCGCTTAAACGACAGATGTTTATTTCTCACAGTTCAGGAAACTGAAAGTCCAAGGTCAAGCTGCCAGCAGATACGGTTTGGTGAGGCCCCTCTTTCTGGGCTTGCAGATGGCCACCCTCTCCCTATGTGCTCACATGGCCTCTTGCATGCATGGAGAGAGTAAGGACACTAAGCCCATTACGAGCATTCCACCTTCATTGAACCCTAATCACCTTGCAAAGGCCCCACCTCCTGAAACCATCACATTGGTGGGTCACAGCTTCAAGACATGGATTTGGGAGGGGACACAAACATTCAGTCTGTAACAGAGGATCTGGGTAAGCCAGGGGGTTACCAAAAGCTCATCTCTGAGTGGAGCAAAGCGACTGGAGGTATCTGCCTAGGTAGTGACCTCTCTCTCTCCTGCCATGCCCCTGCCCATTTAATAGCATCTTGCTCTTGGGAAAGCAGCATTCATGCCCTTTTCTGGCTGAGTTGGTCCAAAAACTTTCACATGTTTACTCATAGGTGCTGGGATTTACACACAGGTATGGGCCATCTGGACATACAGGGTGATTCCCCCACCAGTCACCAGACTACTATGCCTGTCTCAGTTTCCAGGGGATTTAAAACAATGCTGGGTTATTTGTGTGAGGGTTTCCATGTCAGATATGCATCTGGCTGGCCCCTCTGCCTCTCCATACCATGTTACAACAGCTATGCTTCTAGATCACAACGTGCTCCTGAAATGTCACCTCCCAGCCACTCTTCCAGCCTCCTCTCCCGCATCTCACACTCCCACGGCTGTTTCCAGCTCTTTGCTGTCGTCCACGTCCTTCCCTCTCCCGGAGCATTCTCCTCTGGTCTCGGTGCTCATCCAGAAGCCTCAAGCCCCACTTCTTTCCTTGACTCTCCTCATTTTGCTAAACTCCTTGGAGCTGTTCTTAACGTACAGCTAGTGGATGAATTTCAAGGCGTTTGTGAACTTTTCTCCTGTGTTGTCTCTCACATTCGGGCTTTATGGGGGCTGTTCTCACTGCTGAAAGTGCCTCTCCTCCTCCACTCAAGACCCCCAGCCCTACCAGAACACACACATGTCACACTAGGAACCCTCTTCCCAGAACTATGCAGGTATTAATTGGGACCCACTTAATTGGCAACTAATCACACCTGGCTATATCTTTTTCTTCGGCTAGCTCAATTGCCTTAAGTCTGCCTTCTTCAGTGAAAGCATAACTTTTTGATGTCAAGGATTCATGAATACATCTTTTATCCCTCCTTGCTCCGTACCTTCCCCAGTCTACACACAATGCACAATGGTTGCGTGCGCTCTCTCCCTCTCTCTCTCTCTCTCTCTCTCTTCTCTCTCTCTCTCTCTTTCTCTCTCTCTCTCTCATACAGCTTTGCTTTCCCTCTATGTTCCCTACTGCAGTGAAGACAATCACCATCTCTCAGCTGCCCTCCACACCCAGCCCAGCCCTCAGGTCACAACTGAGACATCACTTCATCAACTACACCATCCCTCTGCAGCAGCCTGGATCAGGTGCCCCTACTTCTTGCTTCCAAGGAACCCCTTGTGTCTCTTCATCGGATCTATGTCACCATGTGTAGTGGCCATCCACTTGTATTGCCCACTAAATGATTCCTTCTGTGTGGAAAGGAATGTTAGCTACCTTGCTGTCACATGAAAGGCATTCAATAAATGCTCGTTGGATGATTTAACAAACAGAACTGTGGGTGAATGGTCGTTTTGGCTGAATGGATCTGAACAAAACAAAACCAGATGGAAAAATCTGTTGCAGCCAAATTGTACCATGCCCCCCAACACCACACTGAAGTCACTTGGGAGTTATGTGCTGTTTGGGGTCAGCATGGCATATTCTCTGTTCTTGCACTAGGACAGTAGTTTTGATTATATTCTCTGGAGTTTGGTGTCTTGGTCCTTACGGGTTTGGGTTTGGTGATGAGGCTGTGAGTTATGTTCAGGCATGGGCTGAGGAGAAATCTAGCTGAAACTCACGTTTGGGCACAGAGATGAACATAGAGCTGGACTTAGGATGTAAATAGGGTGGGGATGGGAAGAGGCTGAGGATGAAGCTAGGGCTACAGATCAGGATAGTGCTGAGGCTGAGGGTCGGCTGAGGCTCGGGCTGATAAATGGAATGGGGCTGGGTCTAGAGATGAGCATGAGGCTGGGCTGGGGCCTGGGCTGGAAAGAGCACTGGAGTTGGAAATGTGGCTTTATGGGGGCTATTAAATGCATCTTAAAACATGAGATGAGGCTTCTTATACATTAACTCCCTCTCCCTGCAGTATCTGGAGCCCTGAGGATGCTCCCAGAAGTCAAGCTGGAGGGAATCCTGGGTGGGTCCATTACCATCGAGTGCCCACGTCCTGAAACACCCATGAGGCTATATCTGTGCCGGGAGATGGCCAAGTCTGGAAGCTGTGTCACCGTGATATCTAACAATCACTTTGTCAGGAAAGAATACAAACACCGAGTCACCCTCGAGCTCTGTCCAGATGAGAATCTATTCCTAGTGAAGGTGACAGAACTGACCAAGAATGACAGCGGAGTATATGCCTGTGGGGTAGGCCAGCACACAGACAGGGGCAAGACCCAGCAAGTCACCCTGGATATCCACAGTGGTAGGTATCCCATCTGATAGAGGCTCAGCCCACTCAGAAAACAGCTCCACTTGGGAAGGCTGGGACAGCCATCAAACTGTAGCAGTCCCCCAGGCTCTTATACTATTGTCATATTAGCCAGTCCAGTAATAATTAGGATCTGTACAGATGAAACCTCATAGAGTCAATTAACTTCATGGACCACAGAATTTTCTATCCAAACAAGACAGTTGCTCCTCTCGTGTTATTAAATCCATCCTACCCAAGGCGTGAGAGGAGTGGGGGCTGAGGTTGAGGAGAGGCTCTGAGACTGGAGGAAATTGGAAGCAAAAGGACATAATAGTCCTACATAATTGTCCCATGAGAATTATCATGGATAAATATAAAGGAAAGGCAGTCGTGTCTCAAGCCTTATTTATAGGCCAGACTTGTTACTTTATGATCTGATTCTTTCCATATTTCTGCTGAATCCTGCCTATTTCCTTTTCTCCGCTGACTTCCTCACACATACACAGCACTAATTCAACAGCCTAAAAACCCAGTGGTTTTACAGGGACCGTTGACTGGATTAGAGTGGAAGAGTTTTTCTTTCAAGGAAAGCCCCTGCCCCATTCTTTTTCTGCTCCTCGTGGTGGACCCTGCCCTAATCCCCTCACCGCCAGCCACTATGGCTGAGTCAGCTTCAGTTCCTACCAAGCATCCCTTCCCCAAAACTCCGTCTCCTCCAGGGTATTATACCTCTTGCCTCCAATAGAGTATGAGCCATTCTGGGAAAAGGAGCAGATACCTGAGCCTCCAGTATGGTTTCAGAGATTTATACAGATGCCAATGACCTCTTGGTTCCGGATGCCTGCACCTGCCAGTTCTTTCGAATTCATATCCAAAGGTCAGTTCACCAATGCTGGGGTAGAGGAGGTGGGGGAGGCGATGCAACATTGTGAAAATGGAGGACTGGGTTCGTGTTTAGTTCATAGAGTGGTTGGCAGATAGGAGCTGGGGCTCAGCCTTAGGAGAGGGCATCTCCCTGCCATCTACTTTCCACGTGCTTTAAGCCCATCCTGCAGCCTGGACACCTGGGCGCTCTTTGTAGAATTCATATCACCACTAGGTGGCACTACAAGTGATGAAGGTTGTGCTCCATTCACAAAATGTAGCTCCTTCATGAATGACTTCCGGAAACAGGGCAGATGGTTCCCAGCTGGAGGTCATTAAGCTTCCTTCTGCCCACAGGGCTGTCTTCCACTTTCTGGCACACAGTGATTTTGACAACTCTATTTTGCAATAGAAAGATTAATGATAATACCTTTACATTTCTATATCGTTTTCCTGTTTTAAATGCATTTTGACATTTAGTATTTCCATGATATCTTCACATCTACCCTGTGAGGCAGATACATTAATTGAACACTGTTTCACTAGAGGAAACACTTAGTACCCTGCTGGGTACTAACAGGGATAGTGTAACTGAGCACATCACATACTCAAGGTTGAGACTGACAGGCATGGGATGGAGAAGAATAGACAAGCACATGGCAGAGTGGGAATTGAACTACAAATAAAGTTTTCTCCATGCTCAGAGGAGGGCAACTTCTTCTGCCTGGGAAGTCAGAGAAAGCTTCCTGGAGAAAATGGCATTTGAAGCAAATATGGACAGGATTTACTAGGTGTAGACGGCATGCTAAGAAGGCATTTCAAACCAAGAGGGATGCAAGAACAAAGCAGTTAGGTAAAAGGGAAGAGTGTTTTCAGAAAAGAGATGGAGACCCAGTCCTGCTGGAAACAAGAGTGTGTTAATGAAAGATCGCTTTTTCCTGCTATCTCACCAGTAACCACACCAGCTCAAAGGACCGAGGTCCTGACAACACACCCTCCCTCCCCCACCACTGCAATCACCCACCGTCCTCACGTTTCCAGAGCGTCTTCAGTGGTAGCTGCCAAGCCCACAACCCCCTTGCCATCCACCACAGTCTCAAAGACCTCAGCACCGGAGAGGCTGCACAGGCCCCAGACAGCCAGCTACAACCAGCACACCAGGCTTCACAGGCAGAGGTAAGAGGCCTCCATCATCCAGGATGGGTTAGAAACCAGGCAAAATAGTTTGGAGTTAGGAGACCCACTAATATCTTCCTGAAATGATTACCAACCAAGACCCTTCTTGGCCTTGTCTCTAGAAGGCCACACTGAAATACACTATCTATGAGTATAGCACGTTAACTCATGAGTCCTCTCAACATGAATACACTTGTCAGTGCCCCCAGCAGGAGCATTGCAGAAGCAAGATCCAAAATTTTCAGTCACTCAGCATTTATTCAGATATGTTTCGATGGGGAAAAGCTAAATGAGAATAAAATTAACTACTTAACTATTAACTGCTAAAATTACTTTCACATGTTTTCTTAATTTTTCAATGTGGCGACTAGGAAAATTAAAACTACATATGTGACTCACATATTTCTATTGGACAGCACTGGTCTCAGGGCTGGGTACAATCCAGAAAAGTGCTTCGATGGACCACTAGGGGGTAGCATTAGAGCAGGCTCCAAAGAAAACCTATAATCAGAATTACTTTTGCCTAAGCGAAGATAAAGACATTAATTAGTAAGGAGAGGGACCTCCAACATCATTTGGGTTTTATAGATGAGGAAACTGAGGCCATGAGAGCTAAATGGTTCCAAATAGAACCAGGATTCCTAATTCCTAGTTCAGAAAATTACAACAGCCTACTCGTGGAGAATTCAAATCAATTCAATCAGCATTTTCTTACTATGTACCAGGCATTGTGCTGTATCCAACAGATGAAGAAAAATGAAGACATGCAGTCTGGGTCTTATCTTACTAACTAATGCAAATATAACTTTGACGACAGCTGTAACCAGTAAGAACACAAGAACTGGGGACAGAGAAAGAAAAAATTGATTCTGGTTTACCAAGACTGGGAAAGAAAAGAGGACTTATGCACAGGCCCTTTATGGAAAGTAAGATGTCTATATGTAGAAAATGGGAGACAGGACTTGTAGGCAGAGGAAGCACTGTAAGAAAAACATTCCCTTTTCCACAGTTAGAAGAAACTAACTCACTTAATATTTGCAATAATCTTGTGAGGAAACCAAGGTGCAGAGAGCTAGAAGGGCATCTGACATTTATTGACTGCTGCTTAGACCAGGTGCATGAGGTTCTTCTTATTCACTATTCGGTTCATCTTTAAGCAGTTCTGTGAAGTAGGTTTCACTAGACTTATTTACCAGAGAAATGAGGCTCAGAGAAGTTAGGAGACAGTTAGGAGAAGTTAGACAGCCAGTAAAAAGCTGAATCTGAATTTGAATCCAGATCTCCTGACTCCAGAAACAAGGCTCTTTGTTGGGAAGGGTGAAATTCTGTTAAACAAGGGACAAACTGTGAGCCATCTCCAAAAAGCCACTCAAGAGTGCTTCTTTACTGACTTCTTCCTCCTCTCTCCCTCCCCTTCCCTCTTCAGAGGCTTCAACCATGGCCCAGCGTCCCAGATGGAAGACCAAGGATTTCATATGTTGATCCCCATCATCCTGGGCCTCATCCTTTTGGCACTTCTGGGGCTGTTGGTGAAAAGGGTCATTCAAAAGAGGAAAGGTGAGTGGCTTGGGGCTTGGTTAGGGGGAACTGAGTGTCACAGAGAGCCCAGAGTATTCAGACCCAGGAGCTTTAGATGAGTGGGCCTGGGTGTGGGGAACAAGGAAGGGGGATGAATGGTCTGGAAATGAGGACGAGGAGGAGAGCGTCTTGGGCCCTTGAGACTTCAGAGGAGGGCAAGGCTGTACTTCATGCATTCTGAGCATCTACACGTCAGACAGTACCGAGCCCAGGGGGAGGGAGGCAGCCTTTACTTTCCTAAGACCGGAGCATGATCCTCTGATGCCACTGTCCTCTCCCTGTGGTTTTGCCGAGAAGCTCTCTCCAGGCGGGCCCGTCGACTGGCCGTAAGGATGAGCGCCCTGGAGGGCTCCCAGCGGCCCCTGTCACAGCGGCCCCGCGTGTCTCAGTGGCCACGTTCCCAAAACAACGTCTACAGTGCCTGTCCTCGGCGTGCTGGGGGTGCTCAAGCTGCGGGTGAGAAGGGGTGATGGATGAGCTGGCGGGCGAGCGAGGGAGGAA